ACCGGGTGAGCTTGGAAGTAAGGCGTCAATCGCTGCACGGTTGATACTACCGCTAGGACCGTCTTTTCGGCCACGGAGTACCTGAGCTCGGCACCCCTCAACGTCTTAGCCGTGTAGTATACCGGGTGTTGAGCTCCGCCACCTTCTCGGACTAGGACCGAGCTTAGTGCCTTGGGCGACACTCCCAGGTAAAGATACAAAGTCTCACCAGGCTCGGGCTTGGCAAGGACCGGTGGAGAGAGGAGGTATGATTTCAGAGACTCAAAGGATTGTTGGCACTCTTCCGTCCATACAAACCCTCGGGACTTCTTCACAGCTTGGAAGAATGGGGCGGCTCGATCCGCTACCTTGGAGAGGAAACGGCAGAGCGCGACCAACTTACCAGTCAAGCGCTGCACCTCCTTGACATTTCGTGGAGCCTCCATGCCAAGGATGGCGCGCACCTTCTCGGGGTTGGGCTCAATACCGCGCCTGCTCACCATATGTCCCAAGAATTTGCCGCCTTGGACTCCGAACGTGCACTTCTTCGGATTCAACCGGAGGTTGTACTTTTCCATAATCTTGAAGACTCCTTCTAAGTCTTCCGCATGGGTGGTCGCCTTATTGCTCTTCACAATCATGTCGTCGACGTACGCTTCCATGCTCTTTCCAAGGACGGGCGCAAAGAGCTTGCTCACCATCCTAGCATAGGTCGCCCCGGCGTTCTTGAGCCCAAAAGGCATCACCTTGTAACAATATACTCCACCGGGGGTAGTGAAAGACGTCTTCTCTTCGTCCTCAAGATGCATCCGGATTTGGTGGTACCCGCTGAAGGCGTCCATGAAGCTCATGAGCTCGCAACCCGCCGTCTCGTCCACCAGCTGGTCGATGTTCGGGAGTTGGAACGGATCCATTGGGCACGCTTTGTTTAGGTCGGTGTAATCCACGCACATTCTCCAAGTGTTTCCCTTCGGGGCCAGTACTACATTCGCCATCCATTCCGGGTACTTCACTTCCCTTATATGTCCAATGCTCTGGAGGGTGGCGACTTCCTTGGAAACAAACTCCCTCCGTTCGGACGAGAGGAATCGCTTCTTCTGTCTTATTGGCCTAGACTCAGGATTGACTGCCAAGCGGTGGCATATGACCTTGGGATCTACTCCCGGCATATCCCCAGGTCCCCAAGCAAAGATAACGCGGTAGGCCGAGAGCACGTCCATCAAGCGCTTCCGCTGGCTCCTGGTCAGACTCACCCCGACCTTCACCTTCCGCTCGGGTGTTCGAGGGTCGAGCAGCACCTCCTCGACTTCTTCGGAGGGCTCGGCCTTCGGTCGTGCTTCTAGCTTCCGCTCCCCTTCTTGTGCTTGCACGACCAACGTCTCGTCCCTTGGCAACTTCTTCGTGATTCGGACGTAGCACGATCGAGCTAACTTCTGATCTCCCCTCGCCACACCAATCCCGGACGGGGTGGGGAACTTCATGCACAAGTAATACGGGGAGATTACGCATTCCATGTCCTCCAGGCCAGGCCGCCCTAGGATCATGTTGTGCGCGCAGTTGATGCTCACAACCATGAATTCCATCTTCAGCTCAGCCTTGTGCGCCCCATCCCCTACTATCACGGGCACGGTGATGACTCCTTCGGCCTCAATGGAGTCCCCCGTGAACCCGGAGAGAGGAGTGCGCACGGGCCTCAAGTCTTTGCGGTCCAAGCCGAGGTCCTGGAAGGTCTTTTAATACATGATGTTAACCGAGCTTCCCGTGTCCACCAAGGTGCGGTGCACTATGGCGTCATTGATTTCAATCTTCACGACTAGGGCATCCCGGTGGGGGCTCAGCGTGCTCGGGAGGTCCTTCTCCGTGAACTGGATTTGCTCTCGCCTTCCGAGCTTGGGCACCGGCGCCTGATGGACCTTGGCAACAAAGGCCATATGCTTCCACCTCTTCCTTTGAGAGGAGGAGTCCCCGCCGATGTTTCCTCCATGGATGAATCCCACCGGATATCCTTGGGCTTCGTCCTCGTCTAGATCATCACACTCTCGCCCAATGTGCCTCTTCTCGGGGTTCCTTGCCTGCGTGGCCACCGCGACCGGTTCGGCCGGCTTTCTCCAAGTTCTTCCTTCCGGCGGCCCCCGAGATGGGGCTGCTCCATCATCTCAGGGAGGCGGCCCTCGGGCGATGAGTCTCTGCATCTCCTTCTGGAGAGTGAAGCATTCCTTAGTGTTATGAGTGTTGTTGCGATGATACTCGCAATACTTGGCACCGCTGGACACCTCATAGGTTTCTACGTGCGGGAGCGAGGAGAGGGCAAGCTCTCGACCCGTCCCCACGGGCGCACCCACGGAGTACACACCAGCCGAAGGCGTCCTCGGGCCCGCGGTGTAATCTTTCTTCTTCTTCCTCTTCTTCGCGGCCTCTCCGGAGTCTGCGGGAGCTCGCTTGGCGGGCGCGGCCTCAGAGTCGGGAACATCATCGAACTCCTCCGAGGCTAGGAACTTAGCGCGCGCCAAGGTCTCTTGGTACGTGGGGGGAGGATTCTTGCGGAGCTCCTTCCTCACTTCTCCGCGGGGAAGGGCTGCTTGGAACATGGCCACCAACGCTTGGTCATCCGCCCCATGCACGTCTCTGGCTTCCTTTTCCCACCGGACTATGAAGTCGCGGACCTTCTCTCCCTTGCGGATGCATATGTTGAGCAGGTGGGAGTAAGGGAGCCTCTGCCTTCGGTTTGCCGCGAAATGCGTCAAGAACCTCTCCGCCAGTGTATCCCAATCGTCAATAGTTCCCTTCGGGAGCCGGTTGAACCAATCGCACGC